TGCTTCCCCCATTTAAAAAAAAAAAAAAATCATGATCTGCAAACCTATCTTACAAAATATGCTTCACCATATGGTTTTGGAACTTTGGCAATAACAAGAAAGAAAAAACACCCAGTGGCGATTATTAATTGGGTTTAATCATCCCTTGAACAATGTCAGGAACATATGACACTGAAAGAGGGAAGAAACACCCATCTGCAGGGTGCCCAGGGTCTACTCCATGCAGTTGGCCACTTGTATATCTTTTCATAAAAGACTGCAGAGCTAGGAAAACACAGCAGAGCAACTTGGCATTCCTACACCAACCCATTGCTTGGCTTATTTGCCCAATAGGCGTCAAAAACCTAGTATTTCCCTTGTTTATACAAAAGTAATACATAAACATTTAATCACAGTTTGTTTTAGTCAACCGTATTCCAAAATATCTGAAATTCCCTGTTGTGTTAGTATACCAAAAAGTATAATTATCTGTAGTCACACAGCAGAGGAATAGGCATGATTTACTCTGGGTTTCTAAAGCTGGTGGAAAAAAGAGTGAACATGTTAGCGATCCAGCCCAGCTATGCTGCTTTCTTGCTCTTTGTACTCGGCAATTTCCTCCCTTAGTGAGAAACTCACTCAGTTTCACCATCTGTAAAATGGAGCTGTCACTGTCTCCCTGGGCTATGTTGCCCCACTCAATAGCAACTCTCGCTTTTAGCCCATCACCCTCTGTAGTACATATACCAGTCATGTGCACATGATACACTCAGTCAAGGGGGCTCCTGAAGCATGCATTGATGGGGTAAGTGAGTAGGTCTACATTTTTAGGTATCCCTAATCTGAAAATTCAGATTTCAAAATGCTCCAAAATTTGAAATTTTCTGAGCCTCAACATAATGCTCAAAGGACAGGCTCATTGGTGCATTTCAGATTTTGGATTTTCAGATTAAAGATGTTGAACTAATATAACACAAGTATCCCAAAATCTGAAAAAAAAAAAATAAAAATAAAATAAAATAAAATAAAATAAAAAAACTGAAATCTGAAATACTTCTGGTCCCAAACATTTTGGACAAGAGACACTCCACCTATTTTAATCTAATTCACATATACTTTCATTACCCCTGCAACCCCTACTACACTTTTGACAATGATCCTAGCACACACCTGACCTGGCTGAGCACACATTTTACAAGAAGACCTGTCCATGGAGATCTAAGATTAAGACAAAGTATTTGATTTGGAGCAAAGATCCTGAGAGGGAAGGCAGCAGCGGGAAGGCTACAGCTCTGCATTTATCCAGCCTTCCACACAGAGCTCAGCAAAAGGAGATGCAACCATCACCCCTGCATCCTTCCCTGACTTTTTTCCTTGTTATACTCACCAAGTATTTTCTCCATCCCACTTCCCACCCTTGGCTTCACAGTGTTCTTTTCCCTGATTTCTCAATCTTTCTTAAGTAGTTCATGGCATTTGGTCTCTGCCCCTAAGAGGCTTATTGCTGCAGGTGGCCAAGCACAGCAGTGGAAGAGCTGACAGAGGCAGTGGTCTGTACCTGAAGGTGGCCCATGATGGCACATGCAGGCTTGGAAAATTAAGGTGAGAAGTCCTGAGAGTAGGTAGTGATGGACTCAGCAAGGCTGGATTGTAGTTTCCTGGCTCAGAAGGGAACAAGTGATTTCAGTTCTGGGAGTGTTATGAGACGTGGGACAATGACAGAAGATCTGAGGTGTACCCTCTCAGACCTGTCTGCTCTGCTAAAAGCTCAAAGAACAACTTAGATTTCTTACACTTATTTTTCTTTTCTAAGAAACATGGTATAATTGTATACCAACATTTTTCACAGGCCCCACACAGCTCTTTTTTTCTCAAATATTTGCAGTGATCAGAATTAATAGACAATGTGCTGTCTATTTTTGCTTTGCTTTCAACACTTTTAATGGGCTGTGCAGGCTTTTGGCCAAAGTTTTTAGGAAACATTTTGCAGGGAGGTAAAGAATTCAAGGCAAAGTGGCCGGTTCAATTAGTTTTTATAGATTTGAGACGTAAAGTTCATAAAACACGCTGGCTGCAGATACAGCTGCATGATTAGAGACTGGAGACTGGAGGAAAAAAAAATAAAGAGAGAGAGACATGGGCTATGAAGTCTGCACTCCTGGATTCTGGTCCCAGTGTGGGCATTAGTGTCTGTGCATCTTCAGCAAGGGTCTTACTCCTTTGAGTTGTGGGGTCATATGGGCTTCATTATGCCTGGGGTGGTTATATGTATTAAAGGAAATTATATTGCTGAGCCTCCTGACATGTGTCTCTTCCATCCCTGTGTTAAACATTCCAGTTATCTATTGTTGAGTAACATGCTGCCCCCACATTTAGTGGCCTATAACAGCAATTCATTATTATCTCTCACAGTTCCGTGGGTTGAATGAATTTATTTAGATATTTCTTACTGGAGTCTCTCATGCCATATAGTCAGATGGCTGCAGTCACATGAGTGTTCGAATGGTTTGGATGGCCAGGACAACATCTTCACTCACCTCTCTGGCACCTCAGCTTGCATGGCTGGAACAGCTGGGATGGATGGCCATCTCTCTCTCTATCTGTGCAGCTTCTCCTCCTGACTTAGCTGGAGCTTCCCCACAGCATGGTGGTGTTGAGTGTTCAGACTTCTGACATGGCAGCTGACTTCTCCTGTAGGAAGCTTTTAAGGAGCACAAGACAGGCTACAAGGTTTCTGTTTCAGTTGGCTCAGGCTTCTGTAACCAAATACTATGGGCTGTGTGGCTTAAACAGCAGAAATTTACTTCCGATGTACAGTTCTGGAGTCTGACACATTTGGATCCTAGTGAGGGCTCTCTTCCTGTCTTGTAGACAGCTCTCTTCTCACTTTATCCTCACATGGCAGAAAGAGAGGGAGGGAGGGAGGGAAGGATTGAGGAAGGGAGAGAGAGAGAGAGAGAGAGAGAGAGAGAGAGAGAGAGAGAGAGAGAGAGAGAGAGAGAGAAAACTCCTTTTTCCTGTTCTTATAAGGTTGCTAATCTCATCCTGGGGGCCACACCCTCATTACCTCATTTAAAATCAATTGCCTCCCAAAGGTCCCACCTCCAAATACTAGCACACTGGGGGTTAGGACTTCAACACATGAATTTTGGTGGACACAAACATTTCATTCATAACATTCCACCCCTATCTCCCACACATATTTATGTCTATGTCCTTCTTGCTTGCAAAATAAATTTGTTTCAAGAGCCCTATAAAACTTAACTTGCTCCAGCATCAATTCTAAAGTCCAAAGTCTCTTCTAAATGAGTATAGGTAAGACTCAAAGTAAGGCGTGTCCTAAGGCAAAATTCCTCTGCATCTATGAACCTGTGAAACTAGATAAATTATGTGCTTCCAAAATATATTGGTGGAGCAGGCATGGGATAGACATTCCCACTACAAAAGGGAGAAAGTAGAAGGAAGAAAGGGGTGACAGGTCCCAAGCAAGTCCAAACACAGCAATTCAAATATAATTAGATCTTAAAGCTCAAAAATAATACTTTTTGGTTTGGTGTTCTGCCTCTTGGACCCACCAGGGCAGAGGTCCCTCACCCATGGCTCATATGGTGTCACTTTTGCTCTGTGTCATTAGTTATCCAGGGCCAACTTAGATTCACATGAACGGGGACTAGACAAGGGCATGAATAGCTGAGGGTGGCTTCATTGGTGGGGCCATTTTTGGCAACTAGCCATAACATGTAACATGATTACTTTTCTTCATTAGGTGTGTGTTGTGTAAACTGCTCCCTATGGCTTTTCCTCCATGATTTCATGCATATCTGGGAATAATCCCTGTGTTGCTCTGTCCTGGATATCTTGGAGATAGCACACAAGAGGAAGGTTTTATTGTTCTTGCCATAGCCACCAAAACCAAGTGCTATGAACAGATTTTAATAGTTAAAATTTATCTACAGCCCTTCATTAAGAAAGTTTTTGTTGGCTTGTTTGTTGTTTTGGAAAAGGTTGTGTGGGGGGGAGCTGTTAGATGGAAGCATGGTGAGTTAAGGAAAAGCAGATTTGGAAAGAAATGAAGCCCAATAAATAAAGTCAAAGAAAGAAGCTGATTAAGCCCCTAACACAGGTTGAGTTAGTCCGAGAAGGTGGAAGCTCTAGAGTTGAAGGATATTGCAGAACTCCTTTATGCTGTTGTGTTAGGGAAGCTGTGCCAGTCAGCACCTTTTTTGATTCAGTGCCACAGTTTTTAAAGATAGCAGCTGTTTAAACACTCCATATCCTTCTCTTCATCCATTCAACAAATGTACACCGAACAGCTGTTCCAGGCTAAGGAATGTGTCAGACATTTTGGGAGCTATGAAGACAAATCAGACCAGAATCCAGGCAGAACATAGCCCCCACACAGAAAATCTAGAAGGTGGTACATTGAGATGGAAGTTCAGTCTTGATCATGAGTTGCAGCTCTGTCAGCCCCAGGCTCTGGTCTTCCGGAGTGACGATGACATCTCCTATCACCATCACCACCACTGTCACTTTTTGTCCTTGACACTGTCACTCCACAAGGATCTGGCAGCTCCAGAGCAGTGTGTCTGACTTGAGGAGGGAAGACATTGCTTTGGATTCAGAATGGAGGTTTTATCAAAAATCAGCTCCAAGACTTCATATCTCCCCACACAGCTTCATTGCTAGTGCTGGAGCCGATGTATATGAAGTACGTAGCATGTTACAAGAAGTTGGATGTATGACTGCTTTTATCTTTGTTATTAAGGAACCAAATGCACATCTGGCTAATCACACCCTCCTCTGGTACCTCTAAATCCATGAGAAGCTTTTCCCACTTTTCACAAAATTGTGATAATTTGTTTCTCTCTCTCTTTGCACACCTGGACAGTTGTCTGCTAAGAGAAAAGAGTGCCTTATGCACCTGTGCATCCCCAGAGTTTAGTAATATATCAGTCCATGCCACCTCTAGGTTACTAATGATCCTTTCACTTTTTGCAGAAATCACAGCGTTCTCAGCTCAGTGGCCCTGTGACATTCATTCCTGTTGTCATTTGGTGACTGACCAATCAGATGGGTAGAGTGTGTTACAGAAATTGGCAGCAAGTATCCAATGGGTGAGAGAAGGTAAGCTGACCAAAGTTACTGAGTGATCCAATGTAACTATGTACATTGAGATGGAAATTATGCCATCCAGGTTCATCCTTCACACCTGGCTTGCTTTGGACCTTTACCAAATCTGAAGTAGAATCTGAGAGGGACAGAAAGGGCTACCTTCCTGGGCTTTGAGGAATGTGGTTATTCAACATTGTTGTTATTGGGTTCTCTTTATTGAACACCTATTATGTGCTGGTAGAGAGATGATAATGTATGGTCTACAGAAGATCCAGAGGAGAAAGAAGCAACTGAAGAGGATTATAATTCTTTAGCAAGGACTTGTCTGAACAGAATCATTGAGATGATTTCCATGTTGCTTGCCCCCCCCACTTTTTTTTCTTTTGAGAAGAATTCTTAAAATAGGAACAAGGCAGCTTATGGTCTTTCAAGATAAAGAGGTTGCTAGGAAGCTGAGCCTTTTAGACCTCAAAAGACAGGGCCCTAGATCATGAACCAGGAGGCTTGACTTCAACTCCAAGACTCAGCTCTGCCATTCAGGTCTGTGTGCCCTTAGGGTAATGAGCTCTATTCTGGGCCACCCGGTGCTTGGACCTAGGGTCTCTAACAGTTCTGACGTCTTAGAATTCTATGAATACACATACTTTCTATGTATTCTCAGTGGTAATTGGAGCTATTTTCACTGGACATTCAAATACCCTGATAGAAATATAAGAATTAATCCTACCAGCATGACTTCCTACACTTTGGGATTCGAGACCTATTTATCCACATGTCTACAGCTCATCTCAATGTGGATGTCCAGCAGGTGCCTTAAATACATAGGTTAAATCCAAGTCATGATTTTATCCTCTAAATCTTTACTTTTGTTCCATGCCCCACATTTCAGTGATAATATCAAAATTCACCCAAATCAGAAACATGGGAGGAATCTCTATGCCTCTCAGTCCCTCACCTCCAATAGCATTTTATTCTTATTGATTCCTATTGATTCTACCCTCTGATTATCTTGGAAATGGTTTTGTTTCTCTTTATCCTTACTGCCATTATCCAAATTCAAACCAAGCCCTCTCTCTCCAGTATTACTGAAATTGCCATCTAACAGGTCTTTTTGTCTCCAGCATTATTTCTCCCTTATCAGCTCCAACATGATCCATCTTGCATACAATTTTGAACAATGTCCCTAAGTTCATAAACTACGTTACTCTCCCAGTTAATCCCTTCTAATGATGGAAGTATGAATTCCTCAACAGGCTTCTAGGATGCTTTAATGGTGGGGCCACTCTCTTGCTGTCAGACTCATCTCTCAGCTACTCCCTCTCCACACCCAGCCCTCACTATTATGTCCAGTCTAGGGTCTGCCCACAGGACACCACTATCACTTCTTCAGAGCCACATAATCTCTCTCTCTCTTCCCAAGCACTCTTACATATTTTGTGTCTTAGCTTCGGCCTCACATTCTCAAAGGATTTCTTTCTGATGCACTAAGACTGAGCTATGTGTGTCTCCTCTACAGTGCTTCAACAATCAGGGTTTATGCTATTTACTGTAATTTCCATGTTGAGTTGTAATTGTCTATTTAGTTGTCTGTCTTCCCAGCCATATCTACATGATCTTGAGGGCAGGACTTATTTTGGGACCACCATATTCCCAACTGCAAGCACTGAGTCTAGCCCAAAGTATGTACTCAATAAGTATTTATTAAACAAATGAATAGAGACTTTTGGTATATTTTTAATAGAAGATGAGGAAGAGGGTCTAAGGTGACCACAGAGAGAAAAGTCAATAACGACAGCTAACAGGTATTCCATGTTTACTGTGTGTCAGGCTCATCAGGTCTTTAAAGGTATTACCTCCCTTAATTCTTGCAAAAGCCTTATGTGCTAAGTACTCCTAATATCTAAAATTGTATAAAAGAGAAAATGCTATCTTAGAGAAGATGAGTAACTTGCCTATGGCCATAGTGCCATCATTTTCCCCCTTGGAATTTGTATTAGCGGGAAGTCTGACTTTAGCTAGAGTCTGAATTTAGTCTGATTTTTACCACTTTCTTCTGCTTTTCTCCTGAATGAATCTGCTACATTATGGACAAAAACAAATTTCCACTACATAAGACTCGAGTCTTTTTCTGCAGCCCACACAAGCTATTGTCCAATAACTGTTCGTTCCCTGTGACAGGGACCCATCAATCTTTGGTGATTTCCCAGGTGTTTTACACTCGTATTTTGATGTGGGTCTGATTTGGGGAGCTCCAACTCTTTCTTCCATGCTCTGGCCAATATTTGTTTTGAGAATAAGCCAGTGAATGAAAACACTTGTCATGGAAGCAGAGCTGCACTTCCCTGCAAATGCATGAGTGCGACTGGAAATTGCATGGCTCACTCCGCTTGCATTTGCATATTTTGTGCTCATTTGTCCTGCAGCCTGTCTCCGCAGATGAAACGTCCCTCCTGTGGATATTTCTGTGAATGATGATCATCTCATTTCTGCCAAACCAAATGGATCTCTTTATGTCATTGGCCCTTCAGATTCTTCAATAGGATATGCGAGTGACACTTTCTATGCGAGGGACAATTAGATAGATAATAGATAATAGGGACAATTAGAATGAGCAACCAATGAAACAGAGTCAAAAGTTAAATAGAAAGTACTTGGATTTTACTTCTAGGAAAACTGTTAATATTCTTTTTCACCTAGAAATTAAGAACAGCCTATTTAAAAGTGTTCTGCATAGTTTTTATTCCAGGGAGAGGAAGGTAAAATATGCCAATGCATGTGGTACCCTGTAATACAAAACAGCATGATACAAATGGAACAATCCTTTGATCTTTCAGGATAATCCTTTTGTTTTATGGAGGGGAATTTTGTGGCTAGAGGAAGGAAAGGATTTGTTCATGATTGTGTTGTAAGGTTTTGGAAGAAAAAACAAAATTAACTAACATCTTTAGCTTAAGACTCAGATTCTTGATTGCCAGTCAGTTCAGAATGCTTGAAAGGATTTTGCCTCTTCTCTTGCTCCTGGTTTTTTGACCAGGTGCCTATGACATGCACAAACACAGGCAGAGAGGAAAGGACACTTGCCGTTTCCTCAAGGAGCTATGATCAAGCAGTTCTGTATATAGCAGTCAAAATCCAAGTAAGAAGGAAAAGGAGAGAAACTTCAGCCAAGTGGTGGTGAGGGGCTTGGGCCCTCTGGCTAAATTTCAGGGACATCTGCAGGAGCTTGAGTTTCCATTCTTGGCCCACCTGTCTTACTTAGGTACCTTTTCAGAGCAGGAGAGGAATACCTGGGTAACTACAGGACAGGGCTTCTTAGCCCTGCAACCTTGCTGGGCTTTAAGTAGGGCACTGGAGCCCAGAGATGAATGTCTTGCCGAAATGAAAGGGATTTGCCCTTTGCTCAAGAAAAGTTTAAGCACATTGACATCCTGCTGAGTAATAATCAGCAGGGGCTGCCCCTCACAAGTCACCCAATTATCTTTCATTTGCATAGAAGTCAATCCCAGAAAGCTGCTTGGGGGAGCAGCTCACCTGGGCTGGAGTACCTACCAGGCTCTGCATTGTCCCTGACAGCCTGAAGTGTTGGCAGCCGCTTCCTAACCCTCTGGGCCTGCTGGGTCTGTCTGTGAATGCACATGTCCTATTTTGGGATGTAGGCCACTGTGGAGAAGGAGGCCAAGTATCTGTCTGTAGCTGGTGTCACTGGAATCATAATCAGATACTCAGCTCACTTGTTGACTGAAAATTGCATCTCTTCAGTGTGCACGGTGCCACCGTCACTACCACAGTCAACTAATGATTACCTGAAGCTCTTATGTGCTGGCCAACGTAAACGTCCTGCCTGTGCCTGAAATCAGTACTAAAGGAAAAACCTTAAGAAAAGTTGTTGTTGTCTGATATTGCTTTATTTAGCTAATGATGAACAAAGAATGGTAACCACTTCTAATAATAACAGTGACAGCTGGTATTTATTGAGCATGCCCATGTGCCAGGCACTGTGCTGCAGGCTTTACTTTCATTATCTTGTTTGATGTCACCAAAGCTTTGACTTCTACATGCAGTGGTCATGACTTTTATAGATAAGGATGCTGAGGTTCCGGGTGGTTAAAGGACTTGCCAAGGTCCCCACGACTGCTAGTGGGTAGGAACAGGGTCTCCAGTCCTAAGCACAGCACTGTAGTGCCTCCTGTCAATCAATATGACTTTTCCAGTTCTTTTATACCTTGGCTTCTAGTCTTAACCGAGTTGGTATGGAAAGGTGTCGGAGGGCAATTTTTATTACAGTTATTTTGGTATGGCAACATCCTAAATCTTGGCTGGAGTTTGAAAGGAGACCTAGCTGGCTCTGGCTAATGCAGCAGTATGTCACTAAATGTTTATACTGAGTGAAAAGTAACAACTGGGAGAGGAAAAAATGACTCTCGATATGTTCACTTATCAACCATCTGTTGAGACCAACCTTATTTTAGGCCTTGGACTAGACACTGGGTATACATCAATAAACCAAATGAATATGTACCAATACAACCATGAAACCAAAGTCCTGCCTTCAAAGAGCCCCCTTCAGGTGATGGTGCCAGGCTGACAGACAATGACTGTGGTGCAAAGTTACTTCTGGATAGCTCCATGGATCTGTAGGAGCACAGAAGGGCTGGCTCTGCTGGAAGAAATCAGGGGGAAGCTTCAGTGAGGAGGTAACCTTTGGGTTTGGACTTGAGCATGAGAAGGAATCTACCAGGAGGAGAAGATCAGGAATGATTTACCAGGCAAAGGGGACAGGGCAGAAGTTGCTGAACCAATGTTTGTCATTACTAAGTGGGGAGACCCATAAAACATTTGCTTTTATTTTTATTTGTCTTTAAATGGACGAGATGGTTAAAGAGAAAAAGATGGCTTAACATTCAAAAGATGAACAAAGGTCTTCAGAGAATTGAGTCTCCTTCTGTTCCTATCTTCTGCTCTCTCAATTTTCTTCCCTGGAGACAACCACTATTTTCAGTTTTCTATGTGAC